ATGGTGAAAGAAACTGGACCGATAGCAGACATAAGACATTCATAAAGAACAAGACTTCATTAGTTCCACTCTTCACAGCACGTGTTTTCAACAGAGCTGTCTCTTTTCTCAGGATTTGCCAAACCATCATTTTATAATTATGCTTCTATTCCTAGTGTGCCACCCTTTCTGCAAAAAAATCCTTAAGATGATTACACATTACCACCCCCTACCACCAATTACCAAGATGTAACAGGGAGCGCTGGAATACTAATATTAGAATGTAGACTGCACGCCTCAGCTGGTGTGATATCAAGTACCAACCTTCAGCTAAGCAAAGGTGTTTCCATATTGCACGGTATAAAAGCATGAGATCTGACACAAATTTTAAAGTTTTCAGATCACCATCAGCACACAGAAGTACATTCTCAAACCATTTACTTATGCTTTGACGATATGCTTGAAAGAACTTGTGATTGATAGCCAATTGAAAAGAACACCTAATTTATAAATCCTCTTCTCGTACAAATTAATACGCTGTCTTGCTATCTTCTTAATACTTCCTTCAAAACAAGGTATTTTGTCCCTTTCAAAAGACAAAACCAAATAACTATCCTATAAAAAGATTTGTTACTAAAGATGGTTGGAATCTGTGCTCATTCACTGCAATCAACTGACAAAGTAGTCAAGTTTTCTCATAAAAACACCATAGGCTGCTATGGCTTGCAAATCCCACAGAAATTTATAACAGCATTCTACACTTCTTAACAAACATCTGCTGTGATACAGGATAATTTTACTCTGATTCAGCTATACAATAAAATCTTCCATTTTAAGTGTCTTGGTAAAATTAGCACTGAAATATGTACTTCCCAAACAAGGCAATATACAGTAAACATTTTATTTAACTGTAGAATGCAATTTTAGGTATTTTGTAATAAAGTAATTGTAGAGCAATTATTTCAAACAATAAGGATTTCATAATTGTAATAGATGCCAAAGGTATCTATGCAAATTAGCAGAAACAAATTTAACTTTAAAAAAGAAAGCCTACTGCAAAAACACACGTAGCTTTTTAATAAAGAACACAAAGTGCATCCTCCAAGACTACAAGATCTTGCTTACACAGGCAGAACAATTTTCCTTTGTCTCACAAAAATTTAAGACAGCAGAAAAAGAATACAACCTCTGCGGCTTTACCCCCTGCTATACCAACAAAGGGAGCTACAGAAATAGGCTCAGACAGTGCTTCTGATAAAAACACGCCTCTGTGACTAATCTAATGGCTAGTGCCACATTGCTTTACCCTCACGCTGCATTACAGTGAATTGCTAATATTAATCATCTGGAAAGAGCAGGAAGATAGCACTGAAAAACGCTAAAGTATTTTTTTCGTAACTGCAGACACTCGTTTAATGCCCTGCAGTATCTTTGTATCGACTGTTACATTTCAGCCACGACTGGTTTGGACAGATACCACATGCGATTTTGTGCACCACAAAGCAATTATTTTGGACTTACTTGTATGGAACCCAGGACTTCTCTTTCTGGTAAATGCCAGACTGCCAGACCACAGAATAAGGTTCCTTGGTATTCTCTGTTTGGATGTTACATTCTTTGCCCAAATGTTTGGCTTTCATCTCATATTGACACATTCCCTAACCAATTAAGCAAATACTTGGTGGTTACAGACACTGGCCTGGGTTGGTAAAGAGGGTCTGAAGCCGAAACTGCGTCCTTCACTTCCTGAGCGCCTACCCCTTGACAACAAGTATTTATGACACGCGTTACCAAGAGCCTGCTGTACTAAAGAACGGCAAATAGGATGAGTCAGGTAAATACAGATTAATTTTCCAACATCGAAAGAACACTGCAGAACTTGAATTTATAGAGAATTAAAGGCCTGAAATGTGAATATCACTAGTTAACATGTCTACTATGAAAAATAGGTTTTAACAAACCTCATTTTACTCTTTAATGAGTTATTTGATTGATCAAGCTGACTGAACGGATTTAATACTTCTGCAGGGTATCATGGCAGTGAGTCAAAACAGCTTAATTCACAACTAGCATGATACCACATCAATAAAATACATTCAGTATGCAAACTGACAGACCTCAAAAAGATTCCCTATTGACTACAAGTGGGGTGGCTTTTAGCGAGGTTTTACAGAGATCTGTAATAGGACTGACATGCTTTGATGCTTTAATAAACCATGCAAAAATCAAGGCTGAGTAAAGTGCTGCAACAGCCGGAGTAATGCTGAACAATATAAATCATGGTGTAAAGCTGACTTTCATCGGTAACATTTGCTTTGGCAGAGCAAAAGGAAAAATTATCCGTGAAAAAAAAAAAAGTAGGCCATAGAATGCAAGACAGTCCTGTGCTCTCAAAGAAATATTTATTCAGTTTTAATGCCCACTGTGATGCTATGGCAAAAGAGCTAATAGAAACTATGGATAGATAAGCATGAGAGTAGTAAGTAAAAGTGAACAGGCTGAAAAAAAAATCAGCAAAATAGCAGGAAAGAAGCACAAAGAGAAGAAAAAGACCACATACAGTGAAAGACTAGAGAAGATAATTGATTTGGTCTATCAAAAAGAATTTGCACAGCAAGTAAACACAGAGCATTAATATGTTCATAACTGTGAGAAAGACACAATGAGAATGACTGAAAGCTTAAGTCAGACAAACTAAAATTAGGAAAGTGGCACCCAGATTATTCTCATAGTTAATTAGTAACCAGAAAAGTGGAGGATTTGCACTCTCCAGAAGTAGTCACTAAGTAAACTCTTGAATGAAGAACTGAGCTGGATTTGACCAAAAGATACTTAGCTCAATACCAGATAACTGAATGAAGTTTACAGACTTGCAATATAAAGATCATCCTATGTAACAGTCCCCTTTTGACCTTCAGGTATCAGAAAAAAAAATTATTTTTTGCCAGGCAGCTTGTAGCCAATTTTCAAATAGACATCTCCATTAATCAAAGAAAGACAATGCAAATAGCTGTAATTATACAAGCTAGCTTATAAAAAACAGTATGCCAAAACTACATACACTCCACTACTTGAAATCACCTCCAATTCAAAAAAGAATTAACCTCCATTTTTCTTTGGCCGATAAGCAAACATCATACCATTTAAAGCCTGCCAGCCCAAGATAAGATAAAATTGAGTTTCTATCTGCTCTGCGCAAACAATAAAGAAAACCTGTCCCACTCTATAAAAGACAGAGGGGATGGTTCTTAATTAGGGGGTCTTTTAACACTGTGCTGTGTATCAGCTGCGTACTGATCTTCTCAGAGGTGGCTGTAATTTTGATGAGCAGTACACAGGTTCATGAACTGCAAAGCTTTAAGACAGGACATAAATTTTTAATTATATAAAAGCCCCAAGCCTTCACATACCTCAGTAATACACTCACTGCCGATTTCACATCACTAAGCTTGCAATAGGGAGTAGTAAATACCATTAAAGACCAGAGGCATATGATACAAATAACAGCTCACAAACTGAGTTACCACAGCATGTTTATTTACATAAAATATCTCTCAGATAATTCACCACAAGCATGACAGAAACAAGAAGCTTCACAACAGGAAGGAAAATCTAGGTGAGATTTCTCTACATATTATTTTTTTCAACAACTAAAAATATTTTATTAGCAATAGGTACATTTGTACATTAAAAGTCTATACAACGTCCTTTTCTCTCCCAGTCTCCGTAACGTGTAGGTTCAGGACCTTTAGGTCCACCCTTCTCTTTCGTAGTAGGATTGATTCCATCAGGAAATTCTGAAATGACAGGGAAGGTTTATTAAAATGCTTGTAATGTTAACAAATATAAAGATTTCACCAACTAAAAAGTTTGCTTCTCAGTTTTGTTTTTTAGCACCAAATAAATTATTTTTTGTTTTTAAAGGCAACCGTGAGTTAAACATTTCCCAGAGTAATGCAACAGTAATTTCAGATAGCCTTGTGGCTACAATTAGGAATATATTATCATATTCAGTTATGCAAATGAAAAAGCCACTCAATGTCCACTAAAGCACCACAGTTTCCAGTGAATTCATAGTGAGAACCTGCGCCATTCTGCTATGCTATACGTATGTTCACCACATGTAAAATATCAGATCACTTTCAGGTTTTTCAGGTCTCTAATTCAGAACACTCATGTATGAGAATTTTAGTCAAGAGTCTACAATTATTCTTATATTAAAAATACGTTTTCATGGATGTTAGTATTTTTTTCAAGAAACAGCACGTTGATGTTTTATACAGGCTAGATGCTACAGTCATATAAGGTATTATAAAACCCTAAATAGTTAAAATCAGGTATTTTACCTTTGATCTTTTAGAACTTGACCTATGCCTGATAAGTCATTGTGATGACTTATCTCCTTTCAGGAGAGGGAGACTCTTCCTAAGTAATATCTCAAAGGGATTTTCAAATCTCTTCAGTAAGCCACATGCTAAGCTTAAACATTAGTGATGCTTCTTCCGTTCCCCTAGGTAGGGTAGCTAGGTAGCACCCTATCTAGCTTCTGCCACTATACAGCTTTGTTCCATAACTCATCTTTATACTGATCCTTATTAATATCCTCCTCAAGTGCTCCCTTACACAGAGCCCTCTCTTAAAGCAAAGATTCAGCCTTCCATGCCGTGCAACAACCATCTCGCTATGCATCACCAAGCCATACAGTACTTACAAATGCATTGCCTAGGCACAGCAATGTATTTGGAAGTGTATTTTTCCAGCCTGCACTAGACTGCAGGGCTCCCTCAAGTGTGCTTGATCGCACTCATCCACTCGCCATGTTGATTCTTCGGGGCCTAGCATACGTATACATGACCCAGGGCTCCCTCAATCGCATCCCTAACTCAGCAGTGGTGGGAAGCAACAAGCAATGAGGAGCAGAGTTGAAAAAGAGAAAAGACAACAAAAGAAATCCCGGAGAGCAGAGAGAAAGCAAAGTAATAGAGGGAGACTCACGTAGCTACAGGCTATACAGCATGACACATTGGGATGTCTGTTTAAAAATTAATGTGGATCAGGATAGGAAATGTTAGTATTTGTGCACCTTTGGCAGCACAAGGAGCACAAATGCATCTACTATTATTTTGTAGAGGTCATTATCCCAATACTCAGTATTACTGACGTGCTGACAGCTGTTGCAGAACTCAAAAGATTTCTCCATGATGGAAAACAGCCAGCTTAAACCTGTAACTTTTTTTTTCTAATAACCACCAACGATACACTGCAGAGTTAGCATATTAATAAGCTACTGCTAGTGTGATATGTACAAAAAATACACAGGTACAACTAAATTTTAAGCCAAAAGAAACCTTGAGTCTTGCTAGAAATATAGAACATCTGAACAATAAGCAAAAATTAAAATTATTAACTTGTTTTAAATGAAGCAGCGATGGTATGTATTTTCTTGAGAATAAACGGAGAAGGGTTTCAGAGTTCAATAGCTCTCTCTGCTTACACAGTAATTCCAATTCTGAGTCAGTTCTGAAGTGAGTCACAATCTGAAATTGCCTGCAGCCATTTTGCAGATGATATTGTAATTTTTCAGTCATGTTGCTGTCTGGATATTCATAGTGATTTATTAATATATTAAAAAGCTTGTCCCAGAGACGTCAAAATATATAAACACGAGTTATTGCTACTGGTAAATGAACAGTAACAGAACAGCATGCAGTGCAGGTATGTATGAGTAAGATAAAGCATGACTAGCACTTTTAGTTAAGGAAAGACAGGTAATCAAAAAGAAGGAAAATGAGATTCTTTCTTTCTCCTCTCTGATAAAGAAGTATACATTTCTACTGACTTTTAGCAGCAACGTATCTGGTGCCTCAATCTTGTCAGGTTCTGTAAACGAATCCCACTGAAGTCAGCGGAATGTAACACAAATAGCAGGAGTTTATTAGGTCTCCCTGGACCCCACTGAGTGGCTCAGTAAACTTAGTATCAGTTGTTGTTTTTCAAAACACTGCACGTAAGGCTAAGAAAGAGACCGACCGTGCAAACATAGCAAGGATCAAGAAAACTTCTGAGGACCAAGAAACAGAAAAAGCTTTTTGCACAATAAAAAAGTAGTTGGTGCCCTGGTGAGTTTAGTACCATTGTTTAGAACTATACTGTAACAGAACAATATTACCTATACCAGCTACATATCTCAGAATTATGGAATGGTAGGCTGGAAAGCACTTTTGGAGGACATCCAGCCCCATCCCTGCTCAAAGCAAGGCTAATAGCAGGTCAGGATGTCTGGGCGAATTTGAGCATCTCCCAGAACAGAGGTACCAAAAGTTTTCTGGGCAATTCATCAAAACATTAGACCATCCTTACTCGGGAGAACTTTTTCCTTATACATCCCTTTCCGCAGCTTGTGACCGTTGCCTCATCTTTTTCATTTTTTCAGAATCACTGAGCTTAGAAAATGATTCTGAAAAGTGCTGAATGCGTATCCCCCTTCTTAAACTTACGTCAGGATAGCAGGATCTTTCTTTTAAAATATGGCTTTCAATTTTGGTAAAATATGACTTACTTTCCAGTGGTTCCCTCTCTATATTGGACTCCTCTGGTTCATCAAACCGACCTACTGGTAACTTTGGTTTCTTAAGCGACTGTTTAACACGTTCAGACCGTCCTTCTGCATTAGAGTTGGTGCTCCGCAGAGAGCTGCAAAGCAGCGAGGACCCTATCAAACAAACGCACATTTGTAACATAAACGTGACAGTTTAATACCGTATAGCTGCATCACTACTTAGAAAGCCTCTGAAAAAAAAACTCACTGAAGAAACTAGGAAGTGAAGGACAGGAAAACAAATGCCAAATACTAGTTTAAAATTCATCTCACGGACACCTAAGAAATCAGCACTGATTCTCATCTTTGGCCCTAGAAACATATGCAGACACAGCTGTCAGTTGTATAACTTAGCTCTCAAAATAAGTATATTTTAAATTGCTTGAACTGATCTTCACTGTCACCTTCTTGTATTTTAGACTCTAAATAGTAAGTATGCTAGTGTGGACCAGTACATTCTGTTTTCCTGGAGAAGTCCTAATCTTCCCCCTAAAAGCCTGCTGATTTCCAAGTCTTGGCTCATTTCCATAAGCTTTTGAGTCAGAAAAAGCCCCTGCTTTCCCAAAGGAAAGTACTAAAAAAAATAAAGAGAGAATGTTGTTCCCTTAGTAACAGGTTTTCCAGGACGTTGGTAGAAACTAGTTGGGCTTCCCTTATGATGGTAAAGTAATTAAGCTGGTAGTCAGAAGCAGAGACAAACTTTGAGCAAATTTAAGTTCAATTATATAACTATGCAAATGCTTTAATTAAAAGAAGTATCTTTTTTTTTTCCTCTTAGACTGATACTTCTGCATTTGGTTACAAAGCCAAATGTCCTCAGTGACCATGATGAACTATCTTCTAAAAATATTTCAGCTGTGCATATCTGCTTAAAGTAGCTCTTACTTTTCCTAAGAAGGAATATTCAAATCCTTCCGGTAGCAGACTAGGTGCGAAGCATTGGTAGCAGACTAGGTGCGAAGCATTGAAAAGAGCTATCATTCTACCTTGCTAAAGAAACAACATCAGGAAACCTTCTCAAGCAGTATGGATTTGACCTACACCAACCACCAATTCACCTATATTCCCAGAATCAGCACATGCATTCGTTTTAAAATACCACAACCTTAAAAAGATTAAACCCTACAGCTAGCTATATGAACTGCACCATGCATGTCAACTATTGCCAATGCCTCAAAGATTATTTTTTTTGCTTAAACTATGACATAGTGGATGAGTGAAGAAATTAAATATTTGGGATATGCTGGACCTTTCTATTCCTGCCAAGCATCTGGCTGTTCTTCTGCAAGCTGAATGATAAGATAGCAAGAAAATTAAATTATAGCTGATATTCTAGTGTAAGCTCAAGTAAGAGTCACATTAAAGTACAGATATGAAACTGATGATCTCAGCAGGGAAAAAGCAAAATCTGTTTTTCCTTTCTGCAATATTTGATATTGTTGATGACAACATATTCTTTTTGACACAGAGGTGACATAAGTTCCACACTAAGATTAAGTACCTCTGTGAAAGATGGGATGAACAATCAACATTACTGCTAAATCCTATTCTACAAACTGATCTTTGTGTCTGCCCATAAAACAAAAGAATGCCCTAAAATTCTCAAAACCCTCATCTGTTCAGACATACAGTTCTTCTGAAACAGACTGAGTCTCTTCAGGAACTAAAGACCATCACGCATCTAAAGGGGCTTTGCATTTTTGATGCCTCCTTCTCTAAAAAACAACGAAAAGGGACATACGAAGAAAAAAACCACATGCATCAGGTATCGATTTCATTTAATACACTAAGGGAAGGGACTACTGCAGGGATGAGTGTGGTGCAGGAATCCCGAGGAATTCCCAGAGCATTCCCCTCCATGAAAGCAACAACTCAACAGAGCCCGGAAGGGCCCACAAACATCTATCAACATCTTCCCAGCTCTTCTTGTTACCATATATTGCACTGGCCTATTTCAGGAATATTATATATCTAGCATGTAGATCTAGAACATCTAGGATCATAGAAAGTCTCAGCTTTCGACAAAGAAGGAACTGGCTTCATCTACAGCCCTACAGAATAACATTTCATTACTGCTTGAAAGTCTGCAGTAAAGACATCCCCACAGAAAAACGTCAGAATTGACAGTGAGGCATGACAACACGCTGTAGGTTTACAGTCTAGGGGAATATACTAAGAGAGCAGGACACCGCCAGGGAAAAAGGAGGAAAACCTCTGGCAGCCCAAACCCGCTCCGGGCGCCGTGGGATGAAGGGGAAGGGGGGGGGGTTACCC